CAAAACCAGTCTTTAAGAGTTCAAATGAGACCTCCAAGAACCTTAGCTTCAAGGTAGAGGTGTTTGATCAAGAGTCCCTTTGCAAATGCACCAAGAATTCCCACTTTCAAGCCCTTTCAAGCACAAATATATATATATAAATATAGAGAGAGAGAATTCTAGAGATAGAGAGTAGATTTTTTGCTCTCAAAAAATTTGAACCCCCAAGAAGGGGGAGGCACCTTCCCTTATATAAGCAAAGCAAGGAGAAGCTTGCTTGACAAGCTTAGAGCTTGCTTGAATCCCTCCCTACATGTGCAGGGATGATGCATTCAGTGACCAACAGCTGGCACAGCTGGCACCAAAAATATCTACAAAAATAGAAAAATGGCCGTTGGCCACTTCCACTAGCCTACCGGCCACCTCAAATGGCCTACAAGAGGAAAAAGTGGCCTACAGATGCCAAAAATGACCGATAGGCCCTCCCCTCCTTCCAGGCAAGGGCAACAAAGTATGGTCCAAAAGCAAACCAAAAGAAAAAAGTTAAGAGGCCCCGAGACAAGGCGCTCAACCGAAAACCCCAGAAACTCATAACAAGCACAAACATACGCAATCACTGAGTGCACAAACGATGACATCAAAGTCTTGAGGTCGGTCAAAAATGGGGTGTCTACATATATACTCCTTAAACCAAATATTTGAGACTCCTTGCTGAGGTTCTTGAGCTAAAATTTCAGCTCTTGAGGGTGATCACTTGTTAGTTTGTGAATCAAAAAGTAACCTCTCTTTAAGAGGTATAACTTTCGCCTTCTTTACACTACTTCTTTCCTTTCTTCTTACTATTTTTATACTATTTTTGGACTGTTTTTATGGGCTGAAACTTGTGACTTAAAGTTACCAAAAGTGGAGGGGTTAACCACCATTCATTGAACCTTGTTCTCTAAGCTTTCGTTCTCGTGTTTCTTATTTCTTTCTTAATGGCCACTGATTTTCAGAGTTTTACAAGGCTAAAATATGTGGTTTTGAGGTCCAAAAAGGCTTACTTACTAGCTTCAATTCTCTTTCCTTTTTGCTTACTTTTTTTGGCTTTTTCATAGTATTTTCAGCACTATTTTTGTGAGTTTTAGGACTGTTTTAGTGTGTTTATTTCATTTATGCTTTGCATAGTATGCTTGTAGTGTTGTAGTCCTCATAGGTTTGGTGGTTTAGGCCTTAGGTACTAACTTATTTGAGTTGATAGCTTTTATTTTCATAGCTTTTATACATATGTTCACACTTGCAATAACTATCTCTACACCCTTCATCCTTTCTTGATTTTCTTTCATTTTTGTTTAAGAGTTCTTTCAAACGAGTGTTGTTTAAGGCATGCGAAAGAGACCCTTCTATGCTTAATGGTTTAATCTCTTCGAAGGTTCATTGCCAAGGCATTACATCTCTCTCATGCCAAGACTAACTTCTTGTATGACACTTCTCTTATTTTATTGGACATAACTCTCGCCTTTGGATGAAATGACTAAAGAATGGAAGGTAATTAAAAGGGCTAATAAAATTGGACTAAAATGGTAACAAGAGAAATAAAATTGGTTTGGATTCAATTGGACGTTAATTGAACCTATTGAGTCTTACGTCATTACATACTTTTAGTGATGTTAATGAGGCAAGAATCAATGTCTACCACTTCCCTAGAGAGGTAACTCCATGATAGGGAGGAGTTTTGTTGGTCTTTTATTTTCATTCATTGAGCCTTTGCCCCATCGATACATGGATCATCATGCAATAACCTTGCGATCATTGATGATTTATGGGCCGATTCTACTCATCCCTTGATCAATTCCATGATAGGGGGAGACAGAAAGGACAAACACCTCCTCGAAACACTCTATTTGTGCTATGTTTCTATTCTGTTGCAGCAGGGCAAAGCCCAAAAACAGTAGTCGGCCAGCCACCCAACACAGAGCAGTGGCTGGGGTAAAAACAGATTAATTTTCCGACTACAAAATAGAACAGAAACTGGCAGTAAACAGAGAGTTTCCGGGAGGATCTTCTAATTCGTGTGCGTGCGGCTCCTCACTTCCGATTTCTTTGATTTAATGCTTTAATAGTAATATGTTGTAAATAATTAATTAGATTCCTTCAAATTTTGTAATAATTAGTTAGCCTAGCTTGTTATTTGGATGTGTAATAAGTAGTTAAAAAATTCAGACCCTCGGACATTTAGACCCTCCTACGCGAGAACAAATATGTAATAATTTATGTATGTCTTCCAACTCCCATTTCTTTTTCCCATTTCTTTCTCCCTTTTATTTATCCGCTTACCGTGGTTATATAGTATCATGTTTTCCTTAGCATTTTCCATGCCTTGCATCCATTCGTCTTATATGCATAAGGGTTTGGCTCATTATACTAAGCAATGTCAATTTGAAATTCCTTACTCGAATACGTGCTTTCTTACATGCTTTGAATTGACTCACATGCCATGCTAGTAGCCGAGTTTATTATTTGCATATTGTATGCGTTGCATTAATCATATTGTATTGTTTAGGAACATGCATTTCTTCTAATTATTTTATCTTCTTTGGCTCACCTCAGAGGACTAGGTGAGCATTTCTAGCTTTAGCATATTGCATGTGTGTGATTGCTACCATATCGAACATGTTTACCTAAGGCTAAGTGCTTAGTTGATAAACCTGTTTGAATACTAGTGGATGAAGGCTTTTTCACTTAAGATGGGATGATTTGATTAATGTACATATGAGATCATTTTTCCAAGTGGTACATATTCAAAATACTTTTCCAAAACAAATATGAAATTAAAACGTTCCAAATTGGGCGAATTAGTCTATATTTGTGTGCATCACATAGTAAGAATAGCCTAATAAATCGGAATAAGAGAATATACTGTACATAAGATGCATATCATGGTTAGTAAAGGTTGATCTTTGATTGGGTGAGTGAGGTGCTTAATTCAATGACCTTTCCCTCTCATACCTAAGTTCCCGAGCCGAGACACTTTGGTGATGACGGACAAGTGACCTCTGACACGAATTACGAGTTTCCTAAATTTTCCAAAAAATATTTAGGTGGCATGTCTGAAATCTGACAAAGTGGTCAATTTTTGACATTTTTTATTCAAAATCGATTTTCCAAAAGACTTGCCAGATTTAGACTTTTTTGTATTTATCTATTTCACATTACACTGGTGAAATCAGATTAAGACCCACGGGAGTCCAAACTGTAGGACTGTCGTATCCAAGGAGACTAAATCCCTCCAAAGAGCACAAAAAGCAAACTACAGATGTGATTTCACTATGAAATCGTATTTTAAACTTGCGATTTTAAAAAGTAAGTTAATTTGATAAAAAGTTTTAAAACCTTAGTTATTTACATTTAATCTTTTGGAATATTCGCACAAAAAAACGGCAAAAAAAAACAAAAAACAAAAAAACAAAAAACAAAAGGCTCAATTAAAAGCAAACCATATTCACCAATTTTTTGACAATTTGGTTTTTCATTTTTTAAAGTAGAAATTACCATTCAATAATTGTTTAAAAAAATTAATATAAATTCTACAAAAATTTATGATTTTAATCATTAAAATTTATCACTTATTTGTAATTATTTTTTAAAATTTTGACTTCACTAGATTTTTCATTTTATTTAAAAACAAAGTTTTCAATTCGTACTTTTATTTTTATTTTTAATGAATTTTTTATAATATTTTAATCAATTTTTTCTACTCTTTAGATCTACTTAATCAGTAAAGAGTATAAAATTTGTGAATTTTATTTTTTTTTAAATTAATATAAACAAAAAATACAAAAAACAATTAAGTACATTTTCATATATATATTTTTTGCATTTATTGATTTTTTTTATAGATTTTTTCATAAATATTTTATTTTTCAAATAAATTTAGATTAGGTGCATCTAAAAAAAATTAAAAAGACTTATTACAATAATAGAAAAGTTTACAAAAAATAACAAATCACAAAACAAAACAGAAACTCAAATTGTTTTTGAAAATCTAATACTAAATAGAGTTATTATTACTCAATTTTTATAATTTTTTAAAAAATAAAAATTGTAGATGGCATCGTTTCGTAAAAATTTATTAAAATATATTCTTAAGATACATTTGAAAATTTTTAAAAGATTTGATTACAAGTATGAGTTGAAATGTTTCGTATGAAATTAAGTTTTTAATAAAATTTACACTCAAATTTATTGAAAAACAAAAGAGAGTAATTTGCAAAAGAAAAAAACAGCCGTGGAAACAACTTACTTAAAAAATTGAGTAAATTAGGTAAATCCTCTTAAATTATAGAACATTTACGCTTTATTCTATTAAATTTCAAAACTTAAGCGATACTGCCCTTGAACTATTAACTTGTCACAATTAACAATTTTGATTAGAATTTTACTAGGAATTTAAACGGAATGAGGTCATGTATAAAGTGTATAACACACTTATTATTTTTTTAGAACAATAGTACCCGTTATTGATTTTTATAGGACAATAATACACTTATTTAGTGATTTTATTTGCACTTTACCTCTCTTAACTTAGTGACAAAATGCAAATGGAATGATCATATAATGACATTATTATCCTAAAACCTCAATAAGTATGCCATGTAGTTTATACATGGTTTAATTTTGTGTAAATTCGTAAGAAAATCCTAACAAAAAGAGGATAACAACAACAAAATAATACTTTGAAATGATTGTTACTTTAAGGTAATTAACTGCTGTGTTTTAAAATTCAGGAGGCAATATGCAAATATTCATAATTTAACGTAATTTATGTTAAAAAATTATATTATTAATCTATAAAAAAAATATTTATAAAAACCCATTAAAAATTGATTAAAATTCTAATTATTTTGCTATTTTTTTCACCATGTCTTCAACCGTTATAGGCCATGAAAACCCCCTTACGTAAGGAAGTAGGTCCTGTGTTCTGGCGAGTAGTGTAGTGTAGTGTAGTGTAGTGGGAAAAGAAGATGAAAAGACTTTCTTCGTCAATGGGAGAATATGAAGCGACTTTCCCTTTTCCCATGTTTTCTCACTTATCATTGGATTTTGGAAACTTTATTTATAGACATACAGTATACAGATCATCTTATACATACATACAGAGAAAGGGTGATTTTAGTAGGACAAGTGCTTGTACGGAGTGAGATTCCTAGGTTCTTTTCCTTTTCCTTTTCCTTTTCACTTCCTTCCTTCATAAAGAGAACCCATTTCTTTCTCATGCTATCTTAATACCCATTATCTCTCATTGACATTGTTTTGAGGTTTTATACAAGGGTCTAAAGTGAAATGGGGGTTTGGTACATCTCTCTCTCTCTCTCATTGTTGTGAGGTTTTATAGAAGGGTTTAAAGTGAAATGGGGTTTTGATTTTTTGTTCGTTTCAGATAAGCAATACATTACCAAGTGGAAGAAAGGAGATAGAAAAGAGTGAGAAATTGATGATGAGAGGGGTTCCTTATGACTCAAGCTTCACTGATTTGATGTTTTCATGGTCTCTTGAAGACGTCTTCAATGAGAATCTTTACAAGAACCAGGTGTGTCTTATGCTCCATTTTTCACCATTCCACTGTCCACTGACATGTTAGATACTTAAAATCACATGTTTTGTAGTTCTGTTACAAATACAGTAACCGATCACAAAACAGGACAAAATTTATTGATGGGATTCATGTATAAAAAATCTTATTGCCAATCTCATGGGCATATACATTATTTGTTTGATTCTGTGATTGGTTTATGTGTTGTTCAACTTATTTTATTTTTTTCAAGTTTTTGGGATTAAATTATTAATATGCGTAAAGATAATATTATGGTGGTTGATTCTCAAAGTGGAAAAAAGCAGTTAAATATGATTGTTTGCCTAACCCCACTTCTGCTTCGAGGGCTGGGCTGTTTCTGTGCCAGGCCCTTCAAAAATTTCAGTCCAATGCAGCAATTAATGTACAATTATAGAGGTTAGCCTCTTATTTTTTTGGTTGATATCTGGTTTGATATTTGATTTGTTGACGTGTCTGAATTTATTGTGCATCTCTGGTTTCTTTTATCTCTTTTGAATTGACATATTGCATCTGGTTGTAATTAATTAATCATAAATGTGAAGCATGTGCCATCCAAGTTAATTTACTGGTTAGCTTTTGAAAATTTTGATTATGAAATAAATTTTCATTAAACCTTTGTTTTTTTTTTCATCAGCAAAAATTCATTAAATCATGATCACTGCATCATAAGAACAAATTTTTGTTTTTTATAGTATTGGATATGGACACGAGTATGCACAATGCACATTCCAATACATTGCATATAAGATTATGTATTTTACAATGCTATTATTTGTTAGGAATATATTTTACTAAATTCAACCCCATGGCATGTAGAAGCAGAGCTTTTATATTTTTTTTTTCTATGTAAGAGATGCAGAGAGTTTTGCATGATCATGGGACTCAAACCCAAAAGCTAGCTGAGGCGAGGGCGCTCTCATGCTCATATAGTGCACATTGCTTTTGTACCCAAACAATATGGGATTTCGCTTCACACTCTCTCGCACACTTAGGGTGCTCACTTGGTAGCACCTACCACTTGTATTCCAAGGACATGCACCCTACCCATCTCTGGGTTTTGTGGCTTTTGATGCCATGTTACATGTTCTTGGGTAGAATGCAACCCCAAAAGGTAGCTATTGGGGTGATGGTATGCCTCATGCTTATATATTGGACATTAATTTGGTACCTAGGCAATGTGAGAGGTCACTTCATAGAAAGCCCTCTTGCTATCAAATATAATAGCTTTGTCTTCTTATTTTATCATCAACCATTCCTTCTCTTTGCTCAAGAAGCACTCCATTAGTCTACCATAGTAGTTGCTATGGCTAAAAGTTGGCAAGAGTTGAAGTTTAGAGCTCTTCAAATTACAAAAATGTCTGCAATGTCTAACCTTGTGCCAAAGCAATTGCCAAATTTGCCACCTCAACTTCTTAATTGTATTCCCAGTCTTCCACCCCACCTTTCTTTGGGAACAAAAACAAAAAAGAAACTATTACAACAAATTTCACAACTAGAAATCAATAACCCAAAATTTCAACAAATTTCACAACAAAAACTTCACAAAAATTAACACATTCTTCTAAAATTGAACACAACATGTTAACATATGCATTTCTCTTGAGCAAGAAATAGAAAGATCACAAAATTCAAATTGACCTACTTGTGTGAATGGGTGTGTGTTTGTGATGAAGGTCATGTTAAGATTGTGATGAAAGTTGGGTCCTCTATGTAACGCCTTTATAGATTAGAACTATATGCATCTTTGCATTTGACTTGATATTGTGGGAGAAATGGAGATTGGTTGTTGGCGATGGAGACAAAGATGTAATTCGGAGATTGATTGTTGAAATGCAAAGACAGATCATGTGAGAGAGAGAGAGATAGATGCAAATTGTGAGAGACTAGATATTTTTCTTTTTCTTTTTTTTTTTTGGCATGAATAAAGGTTGGTTTGGCAACCAACTAGAAAAGTCAAAAAGTTAAAAAGTCACTAAAAAAGTTAAAAAGCTAAAAACTATACAAAAAGTCGAAGATTCCTTTTTCGTTCTGTTTTTTGCACGTTTTCTCGTAAAAAATAAGAAAATCATTCCAAGCATACTAGTTTTTTTTTACCTCATATTTTAGCTAAAAAGTTACTAAAATAACCTATTCCCAAACCAACCCTAAGTCATAAAATAAAACACATGAACTTATAGATTTACAAGGGGAATACCCCAGGCCCTAACCAACTAAATAGAGGAGCTTGAGAAGCGGAGAAAACAAAATAAACAAGCTAACAAACTACCAAACCTAAAATCCTAGGGCACCACAAAAGTGTTCAAGGGCCACATATGAAGACACATGGGGGCCTTGAGCAATTCAGCATCCTAGGGAACAAAGAAGCAAATCTTGCTTCCAACATCAGAAGACAGCCAACAGGAAGAAAGAAAGCTTCCAAAGCACTACCCGCAAGGTAGGTTACACTAGAAATAACAGAAGCTGCAGTACTAGAACAACTTAACATGAAAGGGGGCCTTGGACAGACACCAAAGCATGGACACACTATATGAGACAACAAAGAGAGGTATACTATTTTATACACCCCAAAAGAGGAGGAACAGCCCAACAAAAGGCTATAAAAACCATATAGAACTATACAAACCAAAATGACTGTGAAAACAAACAATTGGAAGTAAGAAAGGTATAATAGAGTGTCACTAATCGTTTGAGACGGGGGGAAGTGTGTGTGTGTGTGTGTGTGTGTGCGCGCGTGCGTGTGTGTCATTGTGAAAGAGTTAGAAATGGTGAGAGGGATTGGGTGAAATTTTTTGGGATGTGATGATGGGATCAATGGATGAGATTAATGATAGAGAGGGGGTCAATGAGTGAGGGAATCCATGTGATTAATGGTAATAAAAGTGGCTAGCAAAAAATGATTGTGCTTGTCATTTGCACCAGTGGTCCAATATTGCAAATTTGGCATTTTGGCACTATAGCATGCCAAATTATAGTTCTGGCATTTGCCATTTTGGCAATGCCCAATGGAATAGCTCTAACTTAACTATTTAGCGTAAATAGGTTTCATAACATAATATAGTTAGATCCTTTTCTGAATGTTGGTGTAGTTGCTACACAATTGGAGTTCATTTAGTTTGTTAAGAAGTTAAATTGATTTATAGATTGTTGTAAAGGAAAAAAAAAAAAAAAAATTAAAAGGAAAGAAAATTTTAAAGTTTTTGTTTCTTTCAATTATTTGGTGTAGTGAGGCATGGGTTCCAGACTGTTTGCCCTGGATGGTTTGGGTTCAAGTCAGATTGGTTTATTCTGAATAGTATAATTTAAAAAAGAAAAGGGCATCTTAGTGCACAAGACAGCTGCTAAAGCAAGGTCTGGGGAGAAAAATATGTATGCAGTTTTAGCCCTAATTCATGAATAGTATCTTAAGGTTGAGGATGAGGATGACTGAGGCCTCGTTTGGGAACAGGCTAATTTAGTAATTTTTTGGCTATTTGGCTAAAAAAGTAGGTAAAAAAAACTTGTATGTTTGGGATGACTTTTTGGCTAATTACGAAAAGATGTGCAAAAAGTAGAGAGAAAAGAGAATCTTTGACTTTTTGGTATACATATAGATGCAACTTCAGTGGGGACATGGCGGGAATATGGTAATAAAATTGAAACATTGAAACAAGGGCACGGACACATATAGAATTGCAACTTCAATTCCTTCTTGAGATGCGTGTAGGGGGAACTTCGTTTACAAGCCCTTCAAATGTATTTCTACTTGTTTGTAAGTTTTGTTTAAATTCTAGCAAGTACATTTTAAAATCTTTATGGTCTTCAACATTGTATAAACTAATGAATGTTCTCTTCTTTGGTTACTATGCATATTCAAGCCTTTATTTGATATCAAACTAGATTTTACTCAAATGTAATTACTTTATTTGTTATTGTGCCTTTCAAAAAATAACTAACCTATTTTACAGTTTTATGTGTTGCCGTTTGTGGGCCAGTGGTGCAATCAGGAATTTTACTTAGTGGGTTCAAATTTGAACTTAAAATCCTTGATTTTATTTTTATTTTTTATTTATTTTTATTTTTTCCCCTATTTCTATGAATTTAGTAGTTGTTGACATTATGTAATTATAAACCTAATTTCATATGAATTGATAAAATTATTCTATGTAATTAGAAGTTACTTTAAATTTTTAATTTCGCAAAAAATGATTACATTGTCACTGGATAAAGTAATAATAAGTTGAATCTGTTTCATGGCCTCAAAATACACTAATTCAAACATATATTAAGAAAATTTATAAGCTAAGAAGCATGGACACCGATACAGGTGCGGACACGGGTCACTGTGATTTCAAAAAAATAAGGACAAGGGCACGGACACAGTGGGGACATGGCGGGAATATGGTAATAAAATATATTTTCATATATTTTTATTTACTATCTAGATTAATATTACGTCCACAAATAATCAATATTAACAAAAACCAACTCTAATTCTATATATATATATATATATTTATATAGAAAAAGTACTTGTAAATTAACACTTGCTATTTATATCCTTTTATGGATGATCTATCAAGTATTTAAATCTAAGAAAAAAATAATAAACATTCAACATTCAACATTTATCAAAAGCACTAAATAAAATGGAAGAAAAGACAATTTGGCATGTCCTTAGTATTTCTCCGAATTGGTGGTGTGCCCCCTAAAAATAAATTAATTAAATAAGGGGACACGCCATGTGGTGTGTCCTATACGTGTTCCCGAAGTGTCCGTGTTCCCGAAGTGTCCGTGTCCCCGAAGTGTCCGTGTGTCCGACACGGATACTACACTTGTTTTGAAGTATCAGTGCTTCATAGTTTATAAGTTAAAGTATTCCTCCAAACTTAAAGAAAATTTGTAAGTATTTCCTAATTGGTGGAATGTCAATAAAACGTTCTTGAGTACCAAAGGAAATTAAGGGAATGTACCTAACCTGCAAAACTTTTTATCAAAAATCAAAGTATAAATAATTTATTTCATAAAAATAATTAATATTATCTCTAACAAAGATAATCATGCATAGACTTTTGAATGGTTAATCTTATTTTAGAACAATAAATTTATAAAATAAAATAAAAAGAATTTGAACCCTTTTATTCTAGTTTCAGTAAAATTTTAGTTAAATTTTAAAAAATCTTAAAATAATGAATTATATTCAATTATGAGTATTTTTTTGTTTTTCAAATTTTAATAGGTGTCAAGTGGCCATGCTTAACTTTGTTTTATGCTCTTCCATTCTGTTGTATTGTCTTGCCTTCATTATGGCTTTGACATAGAAATATTGTTTAATTGAACTTTTTTTGCCTTTGGCGACTTAACGTTAAACTTTCATTACTTTATTTCACCTCCATTAAACTTTCGTTGCTTTATTTTTAGGTGGAGAAGATTCCTGAATCATTTCAGTCAGTCGAGCATTACTTTGGTTCATTTGTTTTTCCTTTATTGGAGGAAACACGGGCAGACTTGGCTTCAAGCATGGAGATCATTCATGAAGCCCCTTTTGCTGAAGTGATCTCACTTGATGCGTGCAAGCCGTATGGAACTTTGCATTACGATATTAAGGTTGATTACTGGAGAAACAGATTTAGTGACCGTGGCAAGGATCCTTACAAAACCTTGCCCGGAGATGTTTTTATAGTTTCAGATGCAAAACCGGAAACTGTATCTGATTTACAACAGTGTGGAAGGACGTGGACTTTTGCAACAGTCACTAATATCACAGAGGATGAGATTGGAGGAGGTAATAATTCATCCACTTTTTTTAAAGCCAAAGCATTGAGAGACATTGAAGTCAAAGGTGGAATGCGGCAATCACTCTTTGTGGTTTTCTTGAGAAATATAACTACAAACAAAAGAATATGGAGTGCTCTACGCAAGTTTGGAAATCTGAAGATCATGGAGGAAGTTCTTTGTGCTGATTCTGAGGTAAGAATTGTGACAAAAGATTATTATGCATGCAATTGTTTTGTTTGAGTTTCATGTCCTTGTTTTTAATTTTTAAGATGATTGTACCTTGTGTATATGAAGTTAATGTTAGTAAACATTTTGCATCCTATGTTTTGTGTCTTTTCATATGGACTCTGTTAACTGGAATGCAAACCATTCTGGTACGAGGAATGGTGACGAAAACGAGGTTCGCCACATTCACTGAATTGTGGTACAATAAGGGTTGGAGGGTTGTATAAATCACACTACTAGACTTTACAAGACTACTAAATATAACACCAATTATATAGACATCCAATAAAATATTGTTGCAAATTAATGATGTAAAACCACAATTCTAGAAGCATTATGGCCTATTTGTTTTATATTTGATCATGCAAAAACTCTGCTCTTTGTAGCTTTTTGTTCATTATTTTTTATTTTTTTCTTCTAATAGGAAACTCTTAAGAAATTATATCGCAAAAATTTTGGAATTGCTTTTATATTGTTAAATTCTTCTTTTTGAAATGAAAATGTACTGTCTTTTTGAATGTGCATTTGAAAACATAAATTGTGTTTTGGGTATCACTCAGCATAATTTAATGAATTCTATGAGTAAAATATATACTTCACGTTTGGTGGATCTTATTGACATTAACCGTGAAAAACAGGTTCAGGAGGATTGCGAACTTTGTTGTGTCCATAATGGGTACCAATTGACCGAAAGATTTGGTACAAATCTACTATCTATGCTGAATGAATCCCAAACAGAGGCAGTCTTGGCTGCTCTTCTTAGAATGGAATGTAATCACAAGCCTACTGCAAAACTTATATGGGGCCCACCAGGGACGGGGAAAACTAAAACTGTCGGTGTTATGCTTTTTGCTCTTTTGAGGATGAATTGCCGGACTCTTACTTGTTCTCCTACAAATGTAGCTATAAATGAAGTGGCTTCGAGGGTGTTACGGTTGGTGAGGGAATCTGCAAAGGATGCTTTATTTTGTTCCTTGGGAGATATTCTCTTGTTTGGGAATAAGGATCGGCTGAAAATGGATTCTGACATTGAAGATATCTATCTGGATTATCGTATTGAAATACTTGAGGAGTGTTTAGGACCAGTGTCTGGCTGGAGGCATTGTTTTACTTCCATGATAGATTTGCTTGAAGATTGTGTTTCTCAATACCATGTTTTTGTGGAAAATCAAAAGATCATAGAAAAAGAACACAGCGATCCAGAGGAAGTCGAAAAGGAAGAATTCAAATCATTTCTCGAGTTTGTGAGAGCCAGATTTAAATCTACTGAATCATTGCTGAGAAGATGTATGTTTATATTCGGTACTCATTTACCAAGAAGTTACATTTTGGAACATAATTTCCAGAAAATGGTAACTCTCATTGACTTGCTTGATTATTTGAAATGTTTGTTGTTTGAAGAGAGTGTTGTTTCCGATGAACTCGAGGATATTTTTTCACACCAATATCCAATTGAAGATTTTTCTGAATCTTTTGTGAATAAACAATCTCTGATATACACAAGGAGCAAGTGTCTTTCTGTTTTAAAATCTCTTATGCATTCTTTTGAAGACCTTGACCTGCCAAGTGTTATGATCGAAGGTTCAATTAAGGACTTCTGTTTTCGAACCGCTTCCTTAATTTTGTGCACTGCTTCTAGTTCATATAAGCTATATTTTGTGGGAATGGAACCATTGGACATGCTGGTTATTGATGAAGCTGCACAATTGAAGGAGTCTGAATCGACAATACCCCTTCAACTTCCCGGTCTGAGACATGCCATTCTCGTTGGCGATGAGTGCCAATTACCAGCAACGGTTATTAGTAATGTAAGTTAATGCTATTGGTCTTATTACCCTACAAATTTAAGTAGGCAAGGATTCATTTTTCATACATTGAACATTATGTGGATTGATAGGTTTCGAGTGAAGCTGGATTTGGAAGAAGCTTGTTCGAAAGGTTGAGTTCGTTGGGTCATTCGAAGCACCTTCTAAACATGCAGTACAGGATGCATCCATCAATAAGTTTCTTCCCAAATTCAAAGTTCTATTTCAACCAAATCATGGATGCACCATATGTTATGAAGAAAAGTTACGAGAGATGCTATCTTTCGGAGCCAATGTTTGGTCCCTATTCTTTCATAAATGTAGTTGGCGGTAAAGAAGAAGCTGATGATGTTGGGCGTAGCCGGAGAAATTTGGTAGAGGTTGCTGTTGTTGTGAAGATAGTGCAGAAATTATACAAAGGTATGTCAAGTGGGATTTAATTGTACCTTTATTTTGCCTTTGTTGTTTTGATGTGCACTATACTTTACAAAAAGGCTTACTGTATGTATCTTATTTTTGCCTTTTTATTGTTGTCAAGACTTATATAATCAATCAAAAGACAACTGGAGGTGTATAGAAATCTTTGGTTTTCTTGGTCCTTCTTGAATTTGGTGGCATTCCCTTGATGCCTTTTTGAAATAATTTTTTTTTGTCCTACTTATCTAAAAGAAAAAGTAATTTGATATGCATTCTGCGTTGTTTTCATTGTTCTGTTTTCAAGAACTGAAGGCAGTTTTCAGAAACATTTAATGCCTTTTTGAAATAAAATTTTCTTTCTACTTATCAAAAAGAAAAAGTATTTTGATATGCATTTCTGCGTTGTTTTCATTTTTCCATTTTCAATAACACAAGGCGGTTTTCAGAAACATTACCAAACAGTACTGAAGCACTTTTATCAAATGTTGTATTCGCATCATTTTTCCTTCACTCTTTTGTAGAAGGCTATAACTCAACAGACTTTAAACACAGAGGTAAAAAAAAGAACAAGAAAACATAGGTAGCATGAAGAAATGAAAATAAAACACTGAAAATTACCTTTTATGCTCCCCTGCTTGCTTGACAATGTTGATGGAATCATTCCCTCAATCTTCTCTGTTAAACATCGCCGTTGGAGAAATTAACTTTCTGTTGAATTATTAAAATTGTAGAACTTCTTATTTTCACATACTAAATGATTTGCTTTGTTTTTCTTTTCCTTTTTTTATTTATTGGTTGATGTTGTGTACAGCATGGGAAGGCTACAAAAAGAAGCTTAGCATTGGTGTGATATCTCCCTATGCTGCTCAAGTTGTGGCTATCAAAGACAAAATTGAACAAAAATATGACAACCTCGAGGGATTCACAGTTAAGGTGAAGTCAGTTGATGGGTTTCAAGGTGGAGAGGCAGATGTCATAATAATTTCTACTGTAAGATCAAACAAAGGTGGATTTGTTGGCTTCATGTCCAGTTCCCAGAGAACTAATGTTGCATTGACAAGAGCTCGGTATTGATTCAAACAGACTCCCTCTTAAGTTCACTTATTAATCTTTTTGCTTTTAAGATGATGAATATTCATGTCCTTTGATTCCTTTCCAGGCACTGTCTTTGGATTTTGGGAAATGAAAAGACACTAGCTAGTAGTGAATCAGATTGGGAAGCGATAGTCCGTGATGCTAGGGATCGCCAATGTTTCTTTGATGCTGATTTAGATAAAGATTTGGCCAAAGCAATAATAGATGTCAAGAAAGAGCTTAATCAAATGGATGATTTGTTCAATAAGGATAGTATACTTTTCAAAAGTGCAAGATGGAAGGTATTTGACTTCTTGTGATTACATGATGTTATTATCCTTCTATGTATCTCTAAAATCACAGAACGTTTAATCTTTACAATGCACGTAATTTGATTTGACATTTTTTTTTCCCATTGGTTCACCCCAGGTTTTTTTCAGCGATAACTTCAGAAAATCATTTGGAAAACTTACTTCAGTCCGTATTAAAAAGTCAGTTATGAACCTATTACTGAAGCTTTCAAGTGGTTGGCGACCTAAAAAGAAGAATGTGGACTCAGTTTGTGAGAGCTCTGCACAGATCTTGAAACAATTCATGGTTGAAGGGCTCTATGTTGTTTGCACTATTGACATTGTAAAGGATTCTATTTACAAACAAGTTTTGAAGGTTTGGGATATATTGCCTTTGGAAGAGATCCCAAAGTTGGTTAAACGCCTTGATGGCATGTTTGCTATGTACACCGATGATTATATTGATCACTGTAAGCAGAAATGCATTGAAGGGTATGTTTGTTTTTTTTACTAAATGTGAACATAATGAAATATATTATATATATATATATATTATATTATATTTGAATTTCAAAGGTTAATTAACTTTCTTGATTGGTTTTTTGTGTTCAGGTATTTGGAAGTTCCAAAGAGTTGGGTGAGATCTTTTGACATTGTCCGGTTCAAGAATCTTGACAACCATGTACATGGGAATGAATCAAGTGGCGGTACTATTGATGGTAGGAGTTATGTTGAGAATTCAAAGGTTAGTGAGAGCCTGTTGTTGATGAAATTCTACTCGTTATCGTCTGGTGTGGTGAGCCACTTACTTTCTGACCGCGATGGTAAAGAATTGGACCTACCTTTTGAAGTAAATGACCAGGAATTAGAGATTATCTTGTTCCCTAGAAGCACATTTATACTTGGACGGTCAGGAACCGGTAAAACCACAGTTTTGACAATGAAATTGTTTCAGAAGGAGCAACACCACCATATTGCTTCAAAAGGAATTTATGCAGATGAGGCCAGTACTAGTACAGATGTGAGCAAGAGGAATGACGTTGGTGACTGTGTTGTAGAGTTTAAGGATAGTGTCTTGCGCCAACTTTTTGTGACAGTCAGTCCAAAACTGTGTTATGCTATCAAACAACATGTTTCTGGGCTGAAAAGGTGTGTAAGATGCTCAATTATGGGGTTGTTGCAACCTGTTCCTTTTTTGTATTTTGTTTTTACTGTCTTAGTTGCAAATTACTGATCAGCAAACTAAAATGAATACTCTTTGGTTTTAGATGACTGAGTGTGCAACAGGTCCTATAAAAGTTGTCTGAAGTTTTTATACTACACAAATAAATTAACAGTCATACAATGGATGGAGGTTATGTTATCAAATTGGTTTCCTATAGTTTGTATGATTGATCTCTAAATTAATGCGTTAATTGGTCTGTCTTGATCTCTGTTAATTGTTATTGTTGACCTAAGATGACATTTACTCTTTCTGCGTTAACTGCCTAAGGGTATTACTTTTTTTCCCCTCTTTCTTAACTATGAGCCTTATTTTATGTATAGGTTTGCTGATGGTGGGAATTTTTCTGGAGAAAACAGTTCAACTGATATGGATGATACAGCACAATTTATGGATATCGCAGATTCTTTTCTTGACATTGCTTCTAACAAATACCCTCTTGTCATCACATTTCATAAGTTCTTAATGATGCTCGATGGAACATTGGGTGATTCATACTTCGAAAGGTTCCTTGGTGGAAGCGGACTTTCTTATTGTAGAACTAGTGGTTCAAGATCAGTTGCTTTGGAAACTTTCTTAAGAACAAAGGAGGTTAACTACGAGAGGTTCTGTTCTTTGTACTGGCCCCATTTCAATTCTACGCTAACAAAGAAGCTTGATCCTTCCAAAGCGTTTACTGAGATAATTTCTCACATAAAAGGTGGATTGGGAGTGGGTGAGGCTCGTGAAGGTAGACTTAGTCAAGAGGATTATGTCCACCTGTCTGAGGGTCGGGTATCTACTTTGAGTAAGCAGAAGAGAGAGAAAATTTATGATATCTTTCTGGATTATGAGAAAACAAAGATGGAAAAGGGTGAATATGATTTAGCTGATTTAGTGAATGATCTTCATTATCGACTAAGAAATGTAAGACTTGAGGGTGACAAAATGGATTTTGTGTATATTGATGAAGTGCAAGATCTTACAATGAGACAAATTTCTCTTTTCAAATATATTTGCCGAAATGTGGACGAGGGCTTTGTTTTTGCAGGTGACACAGCACAGACTATTGCAAGGGGAATTGATTTTAGGTTTGAAGATATACGATCTCTGTTCTACAAGGAGTTCGTGATGGAATCAAGAGGCAATGCATTTGTTGGAACAAAGGAGAAAGGATATATATCAAAGATTTTCGGCCTTCGCCAGAACTTTCGTACCCATGATGGTGTGCTTAGATTAGCACAAAGTGTCATTAACCTTCTTTACCGTTACTTTTGTCATTCTATTGATGTTTTGGAACCCGAGACAAGTCTTATATACGGTGAAGCTCCGATTCTTATTGAGTCTGGAAATGATGAAAATGCAATTGTAACTATTTTTTGTAATTGGGAATGTCAGTGGGGACATAGTTGGCTTTGGCGCCGAGCAGGTCATATTAGTACGAGATGATTGTGCCAGGAAGGAAATATCTGACTATGTTGGAAAGCAGGCACTTGTTTTGACTATTGTGGAATGTAAGGGCCTAGAGTTTCAGGTGACTATTAGTTTTTATTTATATGTTATTTATTTGTCTCTTCTTTTTATATATCTTTCATATTTTACTTATTTGGTTCATTTCTTATCGTTTATAGGATGTGTTATTGTACAACTTTTTTGGCTCGTCGCCTCTGAAATATCAATGGAGAGTAATATATGAATTTATGGAAGAACAAGAGATGCTTGATGGTACTTGCAGGTCCTTTCCGAAATTCGATCAGGCAAGACATAATGTCTTGTGTTCTGAACTGAAGCAACTATATGTGGCAATTACTCGTACGAGGCAAAGGTTGTGGATTTGTGAGAATACTGAGGAGCTCTCGAAGCCTATGTTTGACTATTGGAAGAAGTTGTGCTTTGTCCAAGTAAGGAAATTGGACAATTCACTTGCACAGGCAATGCAAGTTGCAAGTAGCCCAGAAGAGTGGCAGAAACGGGGTATCAAGGTCTGCTTGATTGCTCCATATATTAATTTTAGGACACTGTTTTTCTTTTTAAAATCATATCATGATTTTTCTTACACATGTATTGTTTTTGTGTTCTTTAGCTCTATCATGAGAATAACTATGAGATGGCAACGATGTGCTTTGAAAGGGCTGGAGACACGATGTGGGGTAAAAGGGCCAAGGCTTCAGGCCTTAAAGCAAATGCAGATCGTATGCGTGGTTCGAATCCTGAAGGGGCTTGCACGGTTCTTAGGGAAGCTGCTGAGTTATTTGATTCTATTGGTATGGCTAAGTCAGCTGCCGAATGTTTTTGTGACTTGGGAGAGTATGAAAGGGCAGGTATTGTTTTCTGTTCATTTGTTTTTCAATTAATTTTTTTGTTAGTTTGAAATTTGCAATATGAACTGTTTATGCAACTTAACACTATTTAGTGGCTTATGATTTTTAGATTTCATAAGATGGTACTTCCCTTGAAAAATACCCGACAAATCGTGACTTTTAACTAATAGGATAATTTGACCTATACTATACTAGTACATGTTGGGATAATGGGTAGATTCATTTCAGAGGAGAATTACAAATGCATAACCCTTTGTGTCATGAAATGCATGCCCTAATTTATTTTTTCTCAAAAATTTATACCCTAAATTATTGTTTTTGATAAGCAGCTAATTGATGAATTTGTTATCTTTAAAATTATTTTAGGGTACAGGGTTTACCTTTTTTACCAGTATGAATTTTTTTTGATTATGTTATACACAACATGATCATTGGACAGAATGTTTGAATGATAGCTTTTTTATTTTATTTATTTATTTATTTTGTAGTAATTCTCCTTTTTTTCTCTGTGTGTGTGCACTTGCAAATTAATATATTTTGTTTGGCATAAGCGGATATTTTTACATGGCCAAATATGGAGGCTAATGTGGAGTGTGAATATCATTTCCCAATAAATTAATGTCGCTGAAAAAACTAAGATAAACCTTGAGGTTCTCTTGCTTGCCAAATTTCTAGGTCATTACTATGCTCCAAAACAAGTGCACTCAAATTTCATCTCGTGTTTTTCCTTTGTTAAGGTTGAAACTCATTTCTAAAGCTGGAATACTTCCAGACAATTTACAACAGCATTATTTGCCTGCTTTAGTTTGTCTTCATCTTGTTTTGTCATTCTAGTTGTATTTTCAAAGTCTCCAACATTTAATTATGAAGTTTAAATGCACTTTTGGGTTAACAAAGTTTTGACATGTAGGTTGTAATATTTTTGACTTTGCAGGAAGAATTTATTTGGAAAAGTGTGGGGAAACTGAGCTGAACAAAGCCGGGGAATGTTTCTCTCTGGCTGGTAGTTATAAACTTGCAGCTGAAGTGTACGCCCGTGGAAAATATTTTTCGGAGTGCTTGTCTGTTTGCACCAAAGGGAAATTTTTCGACATGGGTTTACAATACATTCAATGCTGGAAACAAGATGCCCGTAGAGACAATGGTACGATGGTCAAAAGAAGTGAAGAAATCAACAAAATTGAACAACAGTTCCTTGAGAGTTGCGCACTTAATTACTATGAACTGAAAGATAATAGATCCATGATGAAATTTGTGAGAGCTTTTCACTCGACGGATTCAGTTCGCAACTTCTTGAAGTCTTTGGATTGCCTTGATGAGCTTTTAGTGATGGAAGAAGAATCGGGAAATTTTTTGGAGGCTGCGGAGGTTGCAGAGCTAAGAGGAGATGTTCTACGCAAGGCTGATCTGATTGGGAAGGCTGGTCATTTTAAAGAGGCGTCGAAGCTTATTTTAAGGTATGTTTTCTCCAATTCTCTGTGGGCATCTGGAAGCAGAGGTTGGCCACTAAAGTGCTTTTCGCAAAAGGAGGAGATTTTAGCTAAAGCCAAGTCGTTTGCAAAGAAAGATTCAGACATCTTCTATGAGTTTGTTTGCACCGAGGCTAACATTTTATCAACTGAACAATCTAACTTGTTCCAGTTGAGTCAGTGTTTGAACGCTTCCTGTGGTAATAAAAGCCTCAGAGGTGAAATCTTATCCATAAGAAAAATTCTGGATATTCATCTGCAGCCAAGTACCTCGAAGTATGATTGGGAATATGAATTAGTAACGGATTTGATGAAGCATTCACTAGAAAGCATTTCACATAACCGGGTGTCTGTTGTAACGCTGATTTGCTTTTGGAATCTTTGGAAAGAGAAGATTGAGTATATCTTCAAGTACCTAGCTTGTCTTGAAACTCATGATGCTGATGAATATTATAGCTATGGTGACTTCTGTTTGAATTACTTTGGTGTGCAGAAGAGACAGTTGAATAATGTTAATACCAGTTTCCTTTTTCTGAATGCTGATGCTGATTGGGTGAGGGAAATTGATGACAGATTTCTTCGGAGAAATGGAAAGTTGGTTTCTGCTGATGCACGCCATTTTGTTTCAGCCGCTCAGACTCATTGGCGCTCAGAATTGCTTTCTGTTGGTATGAAGGTGTTGGAAACTCTCAAGGCACTTCATAAGCTTGCAATTTCAAATTCAATGTCCGTTTTTTGCCGAAGCATGCCTCTCGTTTACATTTTTGAGTTAACAAACTCTTTTTTGGGGTCCAAGTATGTTTCATACAAGTACCATGAAACTCAAACTTTGCAAAGTTTTCTCAAGCTATCTACTGCATACTTTGAGAATGTGTTTCCTTTAGATTGGCGGGAATCATTAACAGAGAGTATGATTTCTCTAAGAGGGGGTGAGCTTTCCCGGAACATTCTTGAGGAGGTTATTCTTGAAAACATCAAGGGTGACCTAACCTATGGCCAAATTGGGAGGATTTTAATGATATGGCTTGGTTCTGGAAAGCCAACTGATGAACTATACAAGAAGATTGCAAAAGGTTTTGAAAAGAATTCACCTTGGGGCGGATTCATTAAGGAACTAAATGGAAACATAAAATCAGAAATTGCGCAGGAATCTGCATCAGGCAATTCCTGTGAGGCTCCAAGAGCGGTGTCTTCTGTCTACAAGTTCTACGAAGCTTTGAAAGATACTTATTATAATGCCAACTGGAGACAAGCTGACTATATATCGCCTGGTTGTTTCTTGTATCTTATAGAGCGACTTTTGATATTTGCATCTGGCTTTCGGGGATTCCTTCTCACCACAAAATCTTCATTTGTTGAATGGCTTATTTGCGAGCAATCAAATGCCGTAGGAACTGCTCATTTAGTAACCGACAATCAATTTTCTGTGAGCTGCATTTATGATTTTGTGGCTTCCATAATCAAGGATATCTTGTACAACAAGCAAGATACAGTAGAATGGATTAAAAAATCTCATATCAATTTCAATCATTACTATCCACTGCTGTTGTTGAGATTGATGGTTACATTGTGCTTGCTTTGTGTGAACTGTGGAACTGGAAAGTATCTTAATTTACTTGTTGATTTGATGGGGAAAAATGATGTTACTAAGGGGCTACCACCGGAATTCTATGATGTCCTTAGGAGGAGGAGGAGACATAATCATGTGAAAATAGATGTTAATGTACTTGCAGAAGCGTGCAAGAAGATTGGGAATCCTCTTGTTATAGCGAGCTTGGGAGAAAGTTGTTCGAAATTTTCATGTCCTGATGCCATTTTTGTCGACGTGAGAGTTTCCCGGAGCAGAGAGGACATCATGAGATTGTTGTTTCCTATTAACAGCAAAGCTCCTCGAGGTCAAACTGTAGCGGTTGAAGTGGATAGAGCTAATCACAATCAGGGGAAGACTTCTAAGGCTCCACCTTCAAACTTAGTTGCCATGGCAGATCAGAAGATGAACAGTCAGAATATAAATGAAGGCGACGTACAAATGTATTGTGGACTCTTTGTGCAAATATCTGATGCTTTAATGTCGGTGGAGAACGTAGGAGATGGAAACGTTACAAAATTTGTGTCTAGTGCCTCGAAGTTAAAGGTAAATGCGAAATTGATTGACATTATTGAATGTTAAAAGGATTTGGATCTAAATTTAATTTTTTTTATTTTTTATTTTCCTTGTATATTTTTTTTAGGTGGAGGTAGAGAATGGTATAGACTTTGTATCTACTGCTTTGTTTAAAGCCTTTGAGAAGAAGACTTGGGGTGATGAGGATGGAAACCTTCTTGTTGAAGCAAACTGCATGCATGATGAATTGAAGCAGCTATCTTCTGCATTGGATATGAGGTCGGTTTAAATGTAACTTTTCATTTTTTAAAGCCCTCCTAGATTTACTTCTATTCATAAATATTTGCATGTGGTTTGTTTATAGTTTCATTTGAAATGGGCATAATTTGCTTCACTCTAATGTGAATTATGCCATTCATCCCCATAGTTTTGGATTCTAGTGGGACATGATTGTTCTATTAATTCTTGATTTTGACACTGTAACTCTGCATCGTAGGATAAGATTTTATTCTTGTAATATTGTCCTCTTTTAGCAACTTGTTGAAGTTACTGGAATAAAATTTACATTTTACTGTATCATGCTTTACATAGGCTTTTCTAATCATATTGTGTCTTGTATTTTTTTAAAATCGATCATGCCATGTGATCATGCTTGTGTTACATAGATTGTAACTATTTTCATGTTATGGTATGCACAGCTGTCAGATTTTTTTTATTATTAATCTTTCAGTGAAAGGGAGCTAGAGGAAAACATTTCAACAATTGTGCAACTTTTGAAAAGGCTGCACTTGAGAAGGCCGAGGCTGGAAACATTCTTGAACCAGCTGTTCTTTCTTAACAATACAAATGCTGATGAAAAGGAAGCCGATCATAGCAAAAAGGAGGAAAATGGCAAGTCGATGAAGGGTGCCCTTGCTTCTTTCAGTATCGCAACATGGCAGTATTTAAGAAAGAAAAAAGCTCGGGGTTGAAGGAAGCCAAACCACTGTTATATTTGACTTTAAGCATTTCTTGTGTTCTTGTCTTGTGTATACTAGTGTTCAAACCATCATAACCAGCATTTGGTCAAAACAACAAGTCCTAAATAATCATGTCTCTGATCTGAACAACGAACAAAATGTCTTTAACATTTGGATTGATTGAGTACGTGATATGCCATGTTATAAGCCGGTGCCTTGTGCATATAGTACGATCTTCTAATGTACAAAAGCCACTACTGGACCATCACATACGCATAAAATGTGTTCATTAACCTTTGTACAGGGAAAAACCACAAGTGAGAGCACAATAACTATTACAGCTAATGTCCATCATTGTCCAAACATTAACATGAATTCCAATTACTCTTGTAATCATATAAATAAAATATGACATACATGTACATGGATTGTCCAAACATTAACATGAATTCCAATTACTCTTGTAATCATATAAATAAAATATGACATACATGTACATGGATTGTCCAAACATTAACATGAATTCCAATTACTCTTGTAATCATATAAATAAAATATGACATACATGTACATGGATTGTCCAAACATTAACATGAATTCCAATTACTCTTGTAATCATATAAATAAAATATGACATACATGTACATGGATTGTCCAAACATTAACATGAATTCCAATTACTCTTGTAATCATATAAATAAAATATGACATACATGTACATGGATTGTCCAAACATTAACATGAATTCCAATTCAACATTTATTCCATTTCTCTATGCCAAACATGCATCTAGGTTTATTATAAATAAAACCCCAACTTTTGTAAAATAACACAAAAGCCCTAACTTTCACAAATGTTACCAAACCAACCCCAACATCTCAAAATACCAAAATTTAAAGACAAAATCCATAGAGAGGAGCATGATATCCCTACCTCAAATTCGGAGCCCCAAGGGAGAAGATGACAAAACCCAACGTGCTCCAAATTCCGAAATTTTCAGATTAAAAAGTAGCCCTCGACGATCAACAACTTTTTTGTAAAGACCAAAGATGAGCAAATCACTCCTACTAGATCAAAACCTAGAGAGAATGTAGAGTTCTAGAGTGAGAGGCTCAACAATGGTGTTTTTGGAAAAGTAGGAGAGAGAAGAGAAAGTGAAAAAGTGATTTGAAAAGTCAAAACTCGGAACTTAAACCCAATCGCCCCGCTCGAGCGTCACTCACAGACTCCCGCTCGAGCGTCAACAATCCCGCTCGAGCGGCGGATACACACTCCTAGAACTTTTACAGAACCAGGTCTCCGCTCGAGCTTCCAACTCCCCGCTCGAGCGGCACTCACACAACACCGCTCGAGCGGCCAACTCCACGCTCGAGCGTCCAACCCTGCACAGTAAATACTGGATGGGTGCAATTCCCGCTCGAGCACCAGAACCCCCGCTCGAGCGAACAGGTCAAAATCTGGGCAGCTAGTTTTGGTTTCTAAACTCAACCAACCTGTAACAAACCTGCCCAACATATTCTATAACTCAAATACGAAGTAAAAAGGATGTAAACAAGATAATAATCAACTACCAACATCTACGGACACATGTCCGGATCACTGTACAACGAGGGTAAATCCGGGATCGCTATAGTCGTCGTGTATAGAGACCAGCTTGACCGGATGATAGACGGCGAGGTATCAAATTTAAATACCTAAATTTTAATTGTCATATGGAGTGTATATGTTCACGAGCGATTTTTAATAGACTTGTCGTTATTGTAGTTTATCTGGCAGCCTTATGCTGAGGTCCTCGATATGCTCTCAGACTATTGCCAACTAGGTGAGGAGATATGGATGGCGAGAGTGCCACTTATTTATTTTGACGTGGTTGAGTGGCATCTCCCTGATCGTATCCTCCGACAGTTTGGTCGGGTCCAGTCCGTGCCAGATCGGTGTGACACCGAGTGGCGGTTGTATGCGACTGATAGACGTGGCTGAGCCAGCACTGACTGGAGTGTGCATCATATGCGATACATACAGTTGTGGGATGCCCGTCACGACACTATTGTACAGGCTGAGTGGAGTGATGGGGTCCTCCCTTCTTCCGACCCTTACATGTTGTGGTATCGGTGACATACACACCTACTTGTCAGTAATCCGAGCCACCTGTCTGAGGCCGGATATCAGGGAGTTGGGCCTTTTCTCGAGGCATTGGTGAGTATCATAGTATGTGTCAGATAATTGTTAATATCATAATTGATTGTTTTCAGTCAACTATAGCCTAATATATCTGATTTTTTGTTCAGGTGGTTCGAGTTGGGAGGTCATATCGCATGGCTGAGGACGCCCTTTTCAGACATGATGGACAGCTTGGTCTGCAGGCCCTTGCAGAGATCCGAGAGTTATTGTACGAGGGGATCCAGCATGCCCATCGAGTAGATCGTCTGCATTTTGGGGACTACGGTGTACACAGTGCAGTAGCTGCTCAAGACACATCAGTCTCGTCCATGTCAGTGCCTCCCACTTCAGCGCCAGCCACAACAGGTCATTGGACTTCAGCCACCCCACCGCATGATACCCCATACATTTCTCCAGATTCCCCACACGTACATCTTACCCAGCATGCTGACCCTGACCCTGACCCTGATTGGACACCGCCTCGGTTCATGCATGATGTTGTTACCCCATCTACCCAGTTACCACCTGCTTTTCTAGGGAGTACTTCGACCGCAGCCCGGTTCATGCATGATGTTGTTACCCCACCTACCCAGTTACCATCTGCTTTTTTGGGGAGTACTTCGACCGCGCCCCGGTTCATGCATGATGTTGTTACCCCACCCACCCAGTTACCACCTGCTTTTTTGGGGACTATTTCGACCGTGCCCATGAGTACACATGATGCAGTTCTTACTGACATCTCCCACGTTGATGATGAGGCCGATATTGAGCCCTCCCCCAGAGCGCGAGGGAGAGGCCAAGGCTATGGTCGTGGGCGACGTCGCGGCCGAGTTCGGGGTGCGGGTAGAGGCAGAGGTCGAGGTCGAGCTGTAGATCGTGACACAGTTGCACTAGATGAGGGAGTTTCACAGCTCACAACAGTATCCGATCTGCGGGCATAGACAGGATCAGGGGCAGCTGATGCAGAAGAGGGGGGGTCACACTCACAGGTGCCACAGGCAGTCACTGGAGGGCCACATGCAGGGGAGGGAGTGCTAGATATTCAGAGAGTCTACCACAGGAGACCGAGGAGGGAGGTCCACGGTCGGGGTTGTAGGACTGGGGGCAGGTTAGGGCATTAGCGATTGTGATATGGACTGTATAGTTTTTCTTTTTTTTTGGTAATTGTTATAGTTTTTGTAAATCAAACTTGTACAGCTGATGTAAATGTGTCATACTTATTTACTCGCAATTATAATTTCACAATTTTTTATTCTTACTTATATTGATGAATCACACAAATCTCTTTCACATCTCTACCTCTCTCTCATTATCCGTAGTCTGTGCATTATTTATAGTAATTTACGATTTTTCCTCAATTTTACAAATTGAGACAACCATTTATAAAATTGAAGTTTAAATAAATTTGAAGAATTAAATTATCAATCCTAAACTCTAAAATAAAAATAAATAAGGTAGCGTTTGGTAATGTTTACGTTTTTGGTTTATGTTTACAAAAAAAATTAAAAACTGATTTTTGTTTATTTTTAGAAAAACATAAATTACAAACGTGTTTGGTTTGAACAAAATGTTTAAACAATCCATAAAAACATAAAATAAAAAATATGTTTGTTCATGCCTAAAAAATGTGTTTGTTCAAGCCTAAAAACAATTGAAATATCTCCCTTCATTGATAAGTCGTGGATAAGCATTACAAATTCATTACAACATAAATGGTTTGGTCATTCATCCAAACAATTTCATTCATTATCGTCATCATCTGACATCTCAATATCAGATTCATACATAACATCCATGCTCCACGCGTAGTACTGGTGTGCATCATCCATTAACCCATCTTCGGCACGCTCATTTCAGTGACAACTCATCTCTTATTGATATATGTGGGATTCTCAATTCAGAATGTCACATGGCAACAGTGAATTCACTGATTTACCTTACAGTCAGCATGCCTTTATTTTGTCCGTATATGCAGATGGATTGTCAAGTCACGTGACTTCGTACCCAGTATTTGCTTTTCTCTGTTTTTTCAGTCTAGTGACACTCATACCTTGTTCATATATGTGGGATTGTGATGCAGAGGCATCTTTCTAAAGCCGTTCATAACCAACTATATAAACGGCTAAAGGTGAAGACACAACCTTACAACTCATTTCACTCTACGAAATTGTCATTTATTTGTTTTAAAAAATTAGCATGGCTACATGGTTCATGGGAGGGAGTGGGAATCGCAGAGGTGGTAGGAACTTGCAAAGGGGTGACAGTTCACGACGAGGAGGGGGAAGGGGAAGTGGCAATGCTGAAGATGAAACACCATTTCCTTTGTTAGATGCCTCTTGTGCTTATCATGATAGGTTTGGGAAGCGACATTTTGTCATGCCCAAATACTATCGAGATCCATGTGGTTTGGTGGAGGATCCATCAGATAATCAAACAGGATATGGTTTAGCAAACGCTAGACTTCTGAAGTGGCCCACACTATTTATAGACCGAGTCCAAATGGAAAGATTATGTCGGGAAAATCGATTGAAGGTGCCAAAAGCACGTTCTGTTGAGATCCAAAAGGAAGATCCTGATAATGTTGATCGACTATGTGAAAGACTACAACGTGAGATTTCTCAAATGAACCATAGGTTAGCCCGCGATATGCAGCTATACATAGTTAAGAAGGATGCCCAGAAGAACAAAACAGAACCAAATGATGCGGCTATCAAGGGTATCATGGAGGATCCTCAGCTTGTCTCTGATGCTGAGCTTTCGGATTGTTCAGACTCTAAGCCACCTATCGATTTAAGCGCGAATTAAGTGTTAATGTCTACACTTCGGCAATATAACAACTTGCATTAATACGTAATGTCTGTGTTAGAGTAAGTATAACTGTTATGTTTATGTTCAGTTCATGGTGTCCATAATGTATTTTTGTGGGAGACTTGTGTCTGTACTACCTATGTAACTGAAAACTATTACATTTGCAACTTCAGTTATGTTGTTTTCATGCTTGTATGAGTATTTAGTAAATTAGTGACTTCGTATATTATGTATTAAGATTTATTACAAAAATGTTGACAAAATTTATTTTAGGAGCTCTCGCTGTGGCCTTCGTTTTCTTGGCCTACTCCGCGGTGGTCTTCGCG